CCCGCCGGCGCCCGCCGGGGGGGGGCGCGCCCGCGGGTGGGGGAACGGAGCTGCGGCCCTTTGGACCCTTCCTGCCGCCGCCCTCGCCTTCCGCCCCTAGCCGCGGGGATGCCCTGGGCCGCAGGGTCGCGCGCGCCTCCGCTGCGGAGCGCTCTGGCTCTGCGCGCCTCGGGCTGGCCCGGCCCCTGGTTGTCTCCGAGACCAGTGGTGGAGGGGTGGGGGAGGCCTGGGACAAGTTCGGACCTTCCTGGAGCCTTGCTGCGTCTCTAATCCGAGTGTCTGGCAACCAACCCCATCCGCTTTCGAGCCCCCAGCGCCCCGGCAGAGTGGCTGGGGTGGACGCGGATGCCAGAGCTCGCCAAAGCCGGGAGGCCCTACCATTCCTGGCCTCGACAGCACAGCCTCCCCAGTGGGCGGAAAAACTGCGCCACCCCGCGTGGCGCTCCAGGGGTGAGGGCGGGGTGAAAGGGTGAACCGGAGGGACGAGCGCCTGCTGCCTGCCGCGAACTCCAGGAGCCTGGCACCGCCGCCCCCGGGAGCCAGGCGGGTCCGCGAGCAGGGTTTTATGAGAAGGGTGTACGCTGGCTGATCCCTAACATCCTGAGATGACAGAGCAAATGGAGGTCGCTCAGGCAGACCCTAGCCCCTGGTTGCTCGTGGGATCCGGTGGGGAAGCGTAGGTTAATTATATTATCTCTTAAATGTGTTAGTCTTCAAATGCAGATTCTTCAAGTAATACTAATTACTTAAGTTGCTCAAGAAAAATGTGGTGTTTGTTCAAACCTTCCACTGACGGAAGGCCAGCACCTTGTGTTCCCCTCTTTCCCATTAAAACATCTAAGAGTGCTTTTTAAAAGCTCTTCCCAGATGCCCCTTTCTGTAGCCTAGAGACCTGCACCGGCCCACCCTGCTTGCCTTAAAACTTTTTACAGCTCTTTCCTAATTTCAAAACAAGAATATTAGTTTTTTTTAAAAAAAATTATATATATTTTTAAACCAAGCTCTTGGACTTTCGTCAGACTTTGTATTTGGTGGTTTAATTCCTGTGGGCGTTGGAAGTAGAGGGAAGAACATCCTGAAATTCGTTGACTATCCTTAGAAAATATAATCATTCCAAAAGGTGACTCACATTGTAACGGAAAAGTAAGTTCCACTTTAGGAGATTCAGGCACCGATGTTTCTATTATCCCAAGATCTCTCTTGAAGCGGAGACACAAAAGCAGGCAGATGCTCAAATCATGTTTACGAATCCACTTTACCTAAAAGTAAGTATGAAATTTACCGAGGTGCATCCTTTACACCTACTATGTGAAATGAAGGGCCTGGTGCATTGTCTGAGCTTTACAAATGGGATGATGTGTCTCACCTTGTGGTAGAATTGCTTTGATCCAATCCAATAAACTGAAATGAAACTGCTGTGAGACATTCACAGTATTTCCTTTAGGTTCAGCTGCGAAGAACCTCTGAAAATGAAAACCTTACCAGTCATCTCCTCTTTTTGTATGTGATGGGTTCCTGAAAAGACATTTATGGCTCTGCTGCAGTGCGGTTCTTTTCACCCCCAAAACCCCCAAACGGCATGAAATCCCTAATTGCACTTCCTCTTTTAGACACACTCTTCAGAAATTTATTTTCAGCATGTTTGTATTTTCTTTAATTTTTCCATCATATTTGAACACATAGTTCAAAGAGTGTCCCATAGAAGGAAAATAAGGCTTTTTCCATATACCGAATAATTTCAGTCTTTGTTTCATTTGTATTAAATTGATGATAACTTTCCCCCATATCACTAGCATTAGCACTTTTATTTTCATTTTTCATTAATTTCTATGAAATAAAAGCAAAAGGCAACAAAACAGCAATATTCAGGCTGGCTGATTACTTGGTTAGAGCGCAGTGTTGACAACACCAAGGTCAGGGGTTCAGATTCCCGGACCAGCAAGCTGCCAAAAATATCCCCCAAACCAAAAAATCAGCAATAATCCAATTTTTTAAAGGAAGTAACCTTTTTCTTTAACAAAACCTTATCTGGAATCCCAAAATATAACTGTTATAAGGTAAGAAGCCATGTGGCCAGGGCAAGAGGCCCATTGCCCCACCTCTCTTCCTTTCTTCCCTCCAAAGCCTCTAGGTCCTTGGACCAACAATATCAGCAGCCTCTGGAAATTTGTTGGAAATGCAAATTGCCTGTCCTCACTGAATCAGAAATGTTGGGGTGGAGCCCAGAAATCTGTGTTTTAATAAGTCCTCCAAGTGGTCTTTTGAGAACCATTGCTGCAGGGCTTCTGGTAACACTGACTGAAAACCACTGCAATAAAATACTCACATAAGCTCACAAACACGACAGTTCAATCAGTAATGCCAAACTGTTGGCTGGCAAGTTGTGCCACCACCAAGGACCTCAAAATGTCACAGGATGTACAGTTTCCAACAGGGATACAAGGGTATCATATATAACACATGACAGCAAAGGTGGTTTGAAAGTCAGACAGGAAGTCAAGGACCCCCAATACCAATTCGGAAAAAAGCTTTGAGTGGCCACAGCAAGCTGAGAAAGTATCCTCCCCAAGGAGGACTGGTAGGATACTCTCATTTGCCATCATCACTCCAGCTACTGTAATAGTGCGAGTGCTAGAATAAGCTTGAACTAGACTTAGAACCCAAGTACATACTTTGGTGTTCAAAACCAAAACAAAATAAATACAACTGCCTTAGAGCCTTACTTCTCAAAGCGAGACCCACAGACCAGCAGCACTGGCACCGTGTAGGAGCTTGTTGAAATGCAGAATCCCAGGCCCTGTCCCAGACCTACAGAATCACAATCTGCATCGTAACATGATTCTCAGGTGATTTATTTGCAAGTTAAACTTTGAGAAGCTGTATCTTAGGCAGGGGTCCTCAGTGTTGGCTACACATTGTAATTGCCTGGGTAGCTTATAAATATCCCCATACCTGATCTGCGCCCCAGACAGATTATATCAAAATCTCTGGAGGCGGATCACAGGCATTAGTAACTTTTAAAGCTCCTCAAGAATATAACTGAGGCCACCAGAGGTGGGAAAAGGGGAGAGGAAGTGGAAGTTAGGGAGAAATTGGTAAAGGACCACAAAAATTGTTTACATTGTGTAATGATAAAAACAAAAACAAACAAAACAAAACTTTTAAAGCTCCTCACATGATTCCAGTGTGAAGCCAGGTTTTAAGAACCATTGCTTTGGAGGATCCAGGTAGGAAAGGTACCATCAGGAAAGCCAGCAGGGTAGACTAGAGTCCACATGGCTGGTCTCAAAGGGAGCGGCTGATACCAGAGTTTAGCTAATTGTTGTCACACAGGACTGTGAGCCTAGATTTGCCAGACCTTCCAAATTTTAAAGAGAATCTGGAAATCCAGATTTTTATGGGTAATTTCCCAATTATTAAATGCTGGCAATTAATGCAACCTTTTTTTTTTTGAAATGTGGGTTAGAACATATTAGTGTGATGGACACTATTTTATGGTTTTATGATGCTGTACATAATAAAATTAAGTGGGCTTAAAAAAAAGGGGGTCACCCAAGAGTACTGGCTTGGTTGAAATGTCAAACTGTTGATCTAAAGACATGTATTTTGAATGTTCTGTTCTCTAACAAGACCAAACACTGTACCCTTCAATGACTGAGAGTTGGTGATGGGTGAGATATCAGAGCTTGTGACCCTGGAGCAGAACACTGCGGTCTTTTGCCCCATATTTTTATTTTTCCTCTCTCCTGCCCTAACAACCAAAGTGTTGGGGTGGGGGTAGGGGGGTTGGGAGGGGAGAAATCTTTGCATTACTTAGCTCAAAAATCTTCACTTATTGTGAGTTATCCAGGTTAAACTCATATTGAGAAACATGAAAAAAATTGTTGACTGGAATACTTACTAACAGAGTAAGAATTCAGAAGGCCAGCTGTACTATAATACTCATTTTGTTGTTTCTGAAATTGTATGAGATGTTATCCATGTTGATGTATTAGAAGGAGAGGGAACTTCCTGACTGTATCCCAGAGAGCAAGTCAGGTCATGATCACCATAGTCAAAGGTCTCTGATCATAACATCTGCTCTGGGGATCCTTGTCTCTCTCAGCTCTTCAGTCCTCATTCTTTGTTTGGGAATAAAACTAAATAAATCAACCAGTATGAGACAGAAGTAAATGAGCCACTGTAGTGATAGTTTCAGTTAAATTTTACTCATTATCTGGTCTCAAAATCACCTATAATAAGAAACTGGAGCTCAAAAAAATAGTTACAGTAATTTTGGTTGAGTTGAAAAAATACAAAACATAAAAGCAAATTTTGTGTAGTTTTTTTTTTTTTTTAATTTTGGTTTATTGTGGTAAGAACACTTAACATGAGATATACCCTCTTAAAAATTTTTTAGTGTACAACAATATTGTTAATTATAGGCACAGTGTGGTACAGATCTCTAGAACTTATTCATCTTGCATAATTGAGACTTTCTGCCTCTTGTTTGGCAACTCCCCATTTCCCCCTCCCTCTAGCCCTTGCAACTACCATTCTACTGTTTGCTTCTATGAATTTGACTATTTTAAATACCTCATATAAGTGGAATCATGCAATATTTGTCCCTCTCTGACTAGCTTATTTCACTTAGCATAATGTCCTCAAGGTTTATCTATACTGTAGCATATGGCAGGATTTCCTTCCTCTTTAAGGCTGAATAATATTCCATG